CATTATTATTCGTTATTGTTAGCAGAGAAGCAACGTCTTCTGATTGGTTTTTCTTGCTGAAGGTTATTCTGTACTGCGTGTGACCGTTTCTTAGAAAGTAAAGCTATATATCTGCGAATCGTATTTGCACACGTTAAGTCTGCTGTGATTGGTTGTTGAGTTCCTCAAGGTTAGGCTTTGTTCTTGTTCTTTTCTCATGACCCCGATTTGGGACGCAAACATTGACGTAAATTGTTGTTTACAATTTTGGCTTGCAGACAGCTCTCACCGCAGTATAATTTATATATGTGTAAAACATGGGTCCTTTGTAAGGTCCTAAGTTCCAACCGCGGTGGGTGCTTACTGCTGAAGAACCTCAACCTAGGACGAAATGGTTGTCCAGCAATGAATAGTAGCAGTACAATATGTGTATTTAAGTAATATCATTGGTTTTACGAAATACTTGGTTATTTGTTTTAAAATTAAACTAAGTGAATTTCTAATATTCAAATTTGATTTCCCCGTTGATTGATTGGATCGAAATGTTTGGCCTCTGTTGACATTGACAACACAGGATGAAATGAGCTTTCAGGATTTCATTGTTAGTCACCATCGACCACAAATTACTTCGTGTTAATCCTCAGTCATCGTGGAAGCATCCACACATGCCAACAGAGGCCGAACATTTCGGTCCAACCAATCAACGGGAAACTCATAATTGAATTTAGAAACAGATAATAACTGACAGTCGTTGTACAAGAGGTGCCTCTTGTGGCCCAGATGGTCTAGCGGACAACTCTCTGGGGCTGGAAAAGATGGGTACTAGGTTCGAGTCTCGATGGGAACACCACCATTCACTGGGAAATGCAGGTACACCCAACTAACGAATCCCAAATAGTACGAAGTGCGCATCCTGGATTTCACTGCTAGTCAGTATCCACCAAACTACTTCAAGTGAATTTTGCATATCCCTACTTGAATGGATCAACTACAGCAAGCAGTATGCTGACAACCGTATAGTTCTAGTTCTCTTATGAGCCAAATTCTTATCTCCCCTTCATTTTATTATCTGAGTACATAGAATTATAACTGAGATATGATTTAGTTGATCGTGGCCAGCAGTGGAATCCAGGATGAAAGTTTCGTACTACTCTGTGACTCGTCCTCTGAATGTACCTCCACTATCAGTGAGTGATGCTATTTCGCCCAAACGCCAAAGTGCTATTCAGTGAGCAATGATAGCTATCCTACTGTCCAAGGGATATCAGTTATTATGCTAGATTCCATTGCTACCAGCATCACACGATTATGTTGACCTTAAATTATCATCGAAGCGTCCGTACTGAGAACGGACACATCGACAGACACCAAGTATTTCAGTCAACTAGAAGAACTTTGTGTGCTTTTGGGCGGTTGTTACTTCCCGGCTGCCCACACTGTGGAAGTTGATTTTTTCTAGAGGTACTTGAGAAATGACCGTGTAGAGCCCAGGGGACAACTGTTTGAGGCCAGTCACACACGACTTGTATGAACCGTTATTTTTGGAGTTGTATCTGTATTGAGATCTTACCGCCGGCTACGGACCACCGCAAGGTAAGTGGGTCGGAGTCGACCTTTTCCAATTCACCTCCCCAGAGCGGAAATGTAGCATAGTTAGTCATCTGAGGGGAACAGCTAACTGGTGTTACATCCCTGTTCCACAACAATACGACAGCCCACAAACCCCCAGCATATTGTAGACAACTTACACAATGACGGTAACTGCTTCAAGTCTTATAATTATCCAAACAAATTTCCTGACCTGCAGGGACACCGATTTCAGTCAGTGCAGCTCGTTGGGTCATTTGAATATAATTGTGATTGTAAAATTGCAGTCAACGAAAGTTGTAAAGAGCTTTTCACGAGACCCACATGTTTTATTTTTCGTAGATACCTTTGAAGTCAGTTTAAATGAAAATCGGTTAGCAAGAAACTGATTTTCATCCAACTTGACCTCAGATGTGATGATATCATGAGAACGACAAATCAATGTTTAACTACAGCGCTGATCTCAACCCATCATGCAGCAAAACTAGTTTCTCTACTCCAAACATCCTGCTCATTGGCAGTCAAAAATCGACAAGCATCCTTCATATGTTAACTCCAAATGTGTATTGCAGTTCACGTGTGACGGCGGGAGCAATTACGTTCAAAGAAAGGCCTATGCCAGATTCTTCGAACATATGCCAAAGAACCTTCGATTAAACGGATGGAATAGTTTAAACTCGTCAGTTACCAAACACCCAATAGATATACAGGACATCGAATAGACGCATGGGGAGAATTCAGAATAATTAACATCCAGACTGATTCTTTTCTCCGTTTCTCGTTGTCTTAATCTTCCAGTTTTATCTCTGGATCGCAATATGAACTCACGCGAATTTTTAATCGATTATCAACCTATCGCTGTACACTTCAAGAAGAAAATGAAAGGAAGATGTCTCAGGGTAATTGGGTCTTGTTTCAAATAGAATGACTGCATCATACGATATACTATCGATGAATATTTTACTTGAAGATTCTATACAGGGACAATAAATGTATTGCAAAAAATGACTCCGAGAATTCTGTATTGTGTTTAAAGATAATTTACGGAATAAAGCTGTTATTACTAGTATTATTATCAGCCAGCAGTAGTGCTTGCTAGCCAGATTGAAAGGGAACTAGTACTACTGGTTGGTGTGAGCCGTTTCAGACTACTCACAACAATTAATAAGTAGTGTGTACTACTATCTATTTATTTATGCATGCTTTCTTTCTTGATAACATATCATGTATTGTGACCTGAATATTTTTGTATTTCCAAGGTAACAGTAGTGGGATTTCACTACTAGATATTCTTCTTAGACTGGTGTAAATCATTGACAGTCTCAGTCTATAAGAGGGCGGTCAAGTGTTCCTGTGATAATCATAGTGGGATAATTTTGACTAAAGTAGCATCTAAAGTTCTGGTCTCAATAATCATCCACAGACTGATCTGTACTCGGGAGAAACAAACGGGTGTGAACAAATCAGGCTTCAAGACAGAACGGAGGATATGTTGATCAAATCTTCACCCTCTGACAGATTCTGGCGTCCATATTTCTCGACATAAAGACGGTATCCACCTCCTACAACCGAGAGGTTCTGTGGCAATTTTTGACCGTGGAGGGAGTCACGAGAAATTTTACAACACTAATCAAAGTATTCTACTCAGACTCGAGCAGCCGAGTAAGAGCTCACAGAGATTTGTCATCTGAAGTGGTGACAACCAGTAGTGTCTGTCAGTGATGTACATTGTCCCCAAATTTAATTGATTTCATCATTGATGTACTAACAGATGTGCCCGTAATTGGCTATAGCGTCTTAGGGATAGACCTATTACCCGGGAACAGTGTTGTCGACTTGGAGTATGAGGGTGGAATTATCCTTCTGGGTGGAAACGCTGATAAAATGCGGAGTCTACTGAACATGTTGAGCAGAAATCTCTGAATAGTTCCACATACTAGCGGCCCCTATCAAAGGTGCTGCAGGATTGATTTGCACCGACACTTACTGAAAGATAGAGAGTGTGAAGTGACCACTCACTTATCCAGGAGTTTTCATCAGACCTAATTGACTGACTGATTGCTGATGAAATCTCAGCATAGATACAAAAGGGTGGTGTAGGATTCGCCTACTTGCGTCATTTCTGAAGTAGGCAGCAGTTCGCTCTGTCCTCCCTTATAGCTGTGAGACATGACCACTGAAACTGAAAGATATGAAAAGCCTGGCTACCTGTCTTTGATCATAAGTGTCAGCGTTCTTTCCCCCATATTTAGAGGTATAAAATAGTGAGCAATATTGAGACTAGGCGTAGAATTTCCGGTCAGGGGAGAAAGTTAATCGATGAATTTGTGACGCTATATAGATTTAGACGGCTAGGACACACTTCGGGCATCCCGAGCGCCGTTGCCATCCACAGCGAACAATATTAGCCAACATAGGATTATGTTGGGAAGGAGTTACAGGTGGTCAAATCAAAAACTAGAATCAGTCGATGAAATCTTTAACAGTTGGTTTGAACAACATAGATAAGTGTAGACTATCTGGTTTGGTTTTCTCAGGAACCTACCTGGGGAGCATCGTTTCAACTACAGGCGGAACTGACGAGGATATCAAAGCAAGAATCGGAAAAGCAAGACAAGCTTTCACTACTCTCAAGTCTGTGTGGAGGTCAACAGCACTCAGCATCAAAAATAAGGTCCGGATTTTCAACTCCAATGTGAAGTCATTGCTACTCGCTATACGAATCAGAGACTTGGCGCGTCATAAAGAGCATCTCAAACAAACTACTGACCTTCATTAACAGTTGTCTTCGCTCAATACTCAAGATCAGATGGCCGGCCACAAAAGATCAGCAACAGAGATCTCTGGGGGCGAACCAACCAGGAACCTATTGTGCAACATATAGGCAGGAAGAAATGGAGGTGGATTGGTCATACTCTAAGGAAACCGTCAATTAACATCACTAGACAAACAATCACTCGAGTGGAACCCGAAAGGGAAGCGGCGAGTTGGTGGTCAGTGCAAGGGTGACATGGAAGAGGTGATGTGAAGAGGAGATGAAAGCATGTGGGCTGACTTGAAGCCAGGTGAAGACTCTAGAAGAGAACCGAACGCAATGGAGACGCACGGCTGAAGCCCTATGTTCCTCTAGGAATTAAAGGAAACAATAATAATAATAAACCAATGACTTGAGGCTATTAGTGACATGGTTCGAAATTCTCGTTCTCAACGAATGGTACAGACACTTTCACTCTTTATGATCTCTCGCATAACCACTAAAACCTATTGGTTTTCCATGTTAATTTTAAATGTCTTTTGTTCTCTTCTGTTTGACACTGTGTGCTACATGGAGTGTAGCGAACTGAACTACTTTGAAACTCACAGAGTTAGTCGGATATTAATGGAAAATAATAGATAGATATTTATATATATAAATATTTATATGTACAAACCTAGTATAACTATACAAAAATTCACCATAGTAGAAAAATAAACTAAAAAAATTGTGCGTGTTTTTACATGAAAAAAAAACAAATCTTCAGTAGTAGAAAAATGGTGGCTGGAGGGGGGGGAGAAAGAAGAGCTGAAAAGTGGGAAAAAAGACGCAGAGGGAATTTTTAATTTACTAACTGCATTCGAAGGCGGATCCCATTTTTTAATGAGGAATTGAGAGACTAGAGAAAAATTGCCCTAAGGATTCCTGATTGATAATGATAGTGATGATGATTGTCATTGCAAATTTTAGTATTTCAAAGAAATAAAGAAAAGAATAAGAGGAGAAAATCGCTTCATTACAAAAAAGAATAAGGAGTCATTTGGCATGTTATGACATCTAGGGCACATTACTGTTTGTAGCGGTAGTAGTAGTAGTAGTCGTGACTCAGAGAACAAACGATGTAGTAGAGAGTTTAATGTTGAGAAGTAGTACCTGAGGTGGGTATATTTCTTCCTCCAGTCGCCCTCTCTCTCTCTTTGCTAAATCAAATTTATTCACAAAATGGATAATGTGCAATCGTATGAAAATTATTATTATTATTACTACTGCTACTATTATTATTATTATTATGGGCAGCAACATCTGTATGACTGCTAGATGATAATATATGATTGATATTTTGACTTTGGAATATGGAATACTGTGGTGGATTATGTACAGTTGTGCTTTGATTTGTTGCTACCGACGTCACCGTCATTACTGACTCAGTGGATGCTGACAGTGTTGTTGTTGATGATGATGATGACAATGATAAGGATGAAGGGAATGTAGCCGTCAAATCGAAACTTTTTTCTTGTATAGGCCATATACCATGCTCAACAAGATTGATTAAACGACAACTTGTTGGATCTTCAGCTGCCAGCTTAACAAATACTAAATGTTCAAGGCATTTATACGCAATAGATCGTAATGGTGGTAGCCTTAACAATAATTTTGTAAATCTTGAAGTATCCTGAGGTTGATTTGTTGTACAATAGGAATGAAGAGCTGAGTATAATTGTTCGCGTACAGCTTCTACACGATACCGGGATGATAAACCGTTAGCATCTAAAAGACAACAATAATGGAAAAGTTTAACAACATGGATGAATGATGCAATTGTAGAATTTAATACACTTGTGAAAGAACTTCATCACTACTTATCATTTACAGGATTTCATCATGAGCTGAAATCGGTTACAGAACCATTGGGAAACCTGCAGGAAGTACTCGACAGCTTTTTCGTCCTAGTTCGGGACTCTTCATCAGTACGCACCACCAGGGTTCGAAACCAGGACCTTCTGGTTACAAGGCGAGCTCGTAGACTACCAAGTCACTGGGACCCGATCCAATGGCTAACCCACGAATTCCAAATTCTGCTAGTTCACGATATGGCGCGGCCACTAGCCAATGTCATCGGTGAGTATTTGTCCTCACACCCAACCTGCTGTATCACACTGGTCACGACTTCCTACTAGAACCCAGGTAACTACCTACCTATCTGAATAAGGCCAGTCACTAATGAGCATTTCATTGATATCCAAGTATTGGGGCTTGTAGGGAATTGATTGATTGGTTACAAGATTTATCATAAGGTGACATCAATTCATTAAAGACAAACTTATCAAATAGATGGGCCGAAGGTAATGTGTACCATGCAAAACAACAATGTAACATAACATATTGGGAAGAAACAGAATAATTGAAGGGGATAGGGGAAAAAGAATACGTATATTCTCCATGGATTACAATTCTCGGTGATATCTGATAACATCTCAAGTTGATGCTTCAAATAACCGGCTGAAAACCCCCTTCCAGGGAGTTGTGGTGCAACAACACATGATAACCTACTAATACACCTATTCTTTGATTGGACACTAGTAACTACTGTGACGTGTCTAGTCCTTTCTTCGGTGCAGACTAACTTCTATCAGTCAGGTTTACAATGTGGCCACCATTCTAGGTGGCTCGCCATCACGGTGCACATTGATTTGATGATAATAGATAACTGGAGGCAATCGGCAGGAAGCCTTGCTTGACCTAGGTTTCATGCTAGTTGGCACTCATCAGCGAGGCGTATCTTCAACCTTGAAGGAACTCTGGTAACGTCTCTGACTGCGGCACTGGGTGACGCGAGTTTGAATTTCAGAAGGGACATGAGTTCCTTCAAGGTTGCAGATACGCCTTGCTGATGAGTGCCAACTAGCACGAAACCTAGGTTCAAGGCTTCCTGCCGATTGCCTCCAACTATCTAGTGTCAACAACTATTCCTTATCCTATGGTTGTGGGCTGAGCATCAGCTCGTTAACAAACTTGAAAAAAGAAAGCTTTATTTGTCATGCATTCAAGAGACAAATAATATCTCAGAGAATCAAGGAGGGAATAACGAAGTTACTTTGAAACTAAAATTTTATCACTATATAAAAGACTATATATATACTTAACAAACGAATCCAACTTAGAGAATTGACATACTACCAGAATACCTTCAACCGCTGTATCGATAAATTTACAAGCATTTGAGAAAGCAAGTACATTCAAAGCATGATAAAAGTGCTTCAATGTGGTTTTCAGAACATATTCCCAGAAAGGGAGGCTGATATTCCGAAAGTGGAATACGGAAGATGCTTTGTAGATATACAGGACGTCTTGTTAAAGAGGATTTGAATGTCAAGAGTATGCTTCGCTGAAACGATTGAGATAAAACGTTTCGAAACTGGATATATAAGAAGAGAGTGATTAGTCTCAAGCCTTCCTGGCAAGTTAAATTTTGATTTGATTACGTAATCTTATATATGTCATACTGGCTTACTGATTTCAATGTACAAACACCACACACTTTTCGTTCTGCCCACAATACGCCTTAAATTAATATCGGCACATACACATACACACACATCTACATCCTGAACTTAATACTTTGTCATGTACGTAAGTTGTCAATGATTTGAGCTAGAAATTTTAAAGCTCACTCACTCTCGATACTCTCAATAGCAGTTACTAGGAAGACAGTTGCAGCGAAGAAAATTTTCTTTTCGATGAAGTCATCATCTAGGCGGTACATTCGTGCATTTATATCAAATGGATGGGAAAGTTCCTGAATAATTTCCGGTTAAGGGTCAAATTAATTAACAAAAAATTACAATTAGGAATTAAAATGCCATAATAAACAGGGGGATCAAACTCAAACAAAGTAGCATCATAATTACTGAGAAGATTGGCATTGTGCAATTCGGGGTTAGAGAGGTAGAAATAACAAAAATAGGCAGGATGTTTGGATAAATAAACTAATGTGACGAATAATTGTTTATGCAATCAGGGATTAAATATGTAGAAATAGTAAAATGACAAAAATAAACAGGAAGTTCGGATATGAAAATATAGCAGTGTAAACAGGGATTAAGAAAAACTTAAAATAACATGAATAAACAGGAAGTTTAGATAAGAAAGGCGATGAGATGGTCATTACTAAAAGAATTACCTGTTTATGGTGGCCATGGCAGGGAAAGGGGTTGGACGTATTTCTTTTGGATACAAAGCGTGGGTTTGACCTTTTGGATAGCTAGTGCTTCGGCTATGCCCAGACATCTTAATTTCACTCCCTTTGATAGGTTTGACTGAATCTTGTATATTACTCTGAAGGATTTTTCGAAAGGCGCTGAATGCCCTGAATTGACCAGATGTTCTGTCACTGAACTATATACACGTTTTCGGTCTCCTTTTACTAGCCAGGCTGGATAGTTCCATTATGGATAAGATTTTATTTTCATAAATCACACAGTGTTACACAGTAATATTAACTGATGACGTTTCGAGCACAAATTATTGCTCATAATCATATCAAGTTACTCACACAACTTTTTCCTTCATATATATATATATATATATATATAATCAAAATAAAATCTTATCCATAATGGAGTTATACTCTACCACAGTGCTCAAGTTTTATACTTATATCAGGCTGGATAGTGTTCACGAGCGCGTTTTTCAAGTTGGCGCATGGTACGACTGATGTTATTTGTTTGAGTTCTATCCATCAGCCTGTTTATTATGGCATTTTAACTCCTAATTGTAATTTTATTAATCTGACCCTTAACCGGAAATTATTCTGGAACTTTCCCATCCATTTGATATAAACACACGAATGTACAGCCTAGATGATGACTTCGTCAAAAAGAAAATTTTCTTCGCTGCAACTGTTTTCTTAATAACTCCTATGACTCTGAATAGCATACTTTACATTTACTGCGCTACTATTTCAATATTGGAAGCATGCAACATTATGGCAATTTTTTGGCAGTCTGTAGCTCTCTAGAAATTTGTGTGAAATGTTAAATGTCATATAGTTATATAATACAAATTTGATACACCTTTGCTATGTTGAAATTAAGTTAAACGTGAAATTCATACCTGAAACTCCATAGGAAATAGTGTTGTCTTTACAGTGGATAGTTCACTGAAGGGTTGAGGATGAAGTATTAGTTGCATTCGATTTTTATAAGCAATTTTACTATTTAGGGATGTCAGAGTTATAATACTTACACTTAGTGTAAAATAATGTGTAAATGTTTTACTAAATTGAATGCCTTGGGTCCTTGGTATTTTAGAGGACGCATTAAACGTATCAGCGTCGGTCAGCTTAAACCTGAGTCTACCCGAAATCTTCATCATTATATTGCCCATAATGGTATTATTTACTCTCAAGAGTATTTAAAATGTTTAAAAACTGCTGTGTCACTGATTTCTGTTAAACTTGAGAAAAAGCATAATTGTGGATAGCAGCGTATCCCAATACAAGAGATAATTGTTCCACCTTCTAGCAAGTCACAAGCGAGCACCAGATTAATTTTCAAGAGTTAGTTTGTAAGGATTAGATTTGTTTTCCGTGAGTTGATCACGGATTGATATCAGTTAGAGAACCATTCCTGGAGTTCTAGTGAGAAGTCGTGACCAGTGAGGTTCATCCAGTCAAGTGTAAGGATGGATGTCCCACCGATGATATTGGTTGGTGGTCGCGCTAAATTACAAATTGGTAGAAGTTAGAATTTATGGGTTGGCCAGTGAATCAAGTCCCAGTGGCTGAATGGTATACGAGCTTGCTTTGTAACCGGAAGGTCCTATGGTTTGAAACCGTGTGGTGGGTGCGCACTGCCGATGAGTCCCAAGCACAAGGATGAAACGGCTGTCCAGTACTTCCTGGTTTTTAATGGTTCTCTAACTGATATCAATCCATGATCAACTCGTAAAAGCAAATCTAATCCTTACAAATAAGCTACAGTTCGATGTTTCTAAACTAAGCTATACGGGATTATTACTCTACAAGTACATTGCATGTCCATCAATCTAAAGATGTAGTGTAACTCTTAGGACTAAATAACATACCCTCTCAATATAACTAATTAATTCTTAAATAAGTTGAAGCATCCGAGGGTGACCAAGCAGGCGATGTTATGTGAACAACGCATGAAAGGTAGTAAGCAGTCATAAGGCCGGTTAAAAAAGGATGACAGAAAACAACGAAGAATGGGTTAAGTGTTGCTGAAGCCCCCTATGTTCCACATACCGATGATATTCCTAATTGTGGTTTAACTGGATAATGCGGAACGCCGTATGTGGGGAGCGAGAAGATAGGAATACTTTGGATTGATAAGAATCACTCTAGAAGATCTAGATTTCGCTGACGATTTACACGTCTAGTGTCATATAAACCCAAAGACCTACGGGCGAAAACCAACAAGTGGGAAGAGACAGACAGCGAAGACAGCACTTTAGGTGAACGTAGAAAGGAAGACAGATGTGACAAAGATAACCAACTAACAACAACAAGCTTTAGTCACTATCAATGAGAAAAAATTTGAGTGGGGTCACTTTCTTCACTTATCTAGGCAGCATCATTTCAAGCAGTCGTCGGTACGGATGAGGATGTCAACACCAGGATCGGAAAGGCAAGGCAGACATTCATCAATCACTCTGAAATCAGTATAAAGAACAAGAGGTGAATTTTCAACACCACTTCTTCTACATATGGGTTGGAAAGTTGACGCCTCATAAAAAACATCTCCAACAGCCAGCTGCAGATTTTTATCAACATCTGCCTTCGATGGCTCTATACTGAAGATCAGATGGCCAGCTGCAAAGAATCAACAACAAGGAGCTCTGGAGGAACAACGAACCCACCAAGAATCCATTGCTCAACAAATATCCCGGAGGAAATACAGATGCATCGGACATACTCTGGGGAGATCATTGGGTGATATTGCGCGCCAGGCATACCTTCGAGCGGAATCTGAATGGGAAATGATGAGTTGGGCGTGTGGCCGAGGGTGACATAGAGGAGATTGTGTGAAGAGAAGATTAACGCTTATGGGCAATCGTGGAATCAGAGAAAGAGAATTGTAGAGAACTGGACAAAGTGGAGATGTGCTCCACCATTAGAAACCCCAGGGAATAATAATCACAATGTAATACCTTTAAACAAACATACTTCACAACTCTCAACCACCCAAAGTGCAAAATGATATTTCGAATTCACAAACACACACACACACACTTAGTGATTAAAACATAAGCCATGACAAATAACTTACCAGGATTGAAAAGTATAATTGCTCGTAATAAAGCTAATTCTGTTCTTTGTAGTGATAAATCACGAAAACGTGCAACAAGTTCATGAAGAATTCTATCAACAAGTGGTCCTAGACCAAAAGCTTTTGCTACTTCTCTGCCAAGATGACGTCCATTTGATAAGAGTAAACCATCTCTGATAACAGTTGAATGATACGCTGAACTGATTAGAACTAATTCAGGCCAAGCTAAAAAAATATTATATAAATAAATTTAGTTTTCTTTTTGTGATAGCATTATACAGACTGTGTAATATTAAACAGCATTATAGATTACATTCACTTCCAGTTGGTAAGTAAGTGTTCAAAGGATGACTACTGAAACGCGAAGGGAGACTAGTTTTACTTTTCACAAATGCTTATGACATATGTGAAAGAGAAGCTCTACTCAATATCATACATTTAGTTCCCTTTGATAAATTTCGAAACAGAAAATTTGCTGGATAAAATTTCGGTCGGTCGGTTTTCGACATAGAACTTTGCACTGATGTGCGGCAGTTCAAGTCACCACACTCCCTCCTTGTAGCACACAAAGCAAGAGAAGAAAGTAGGAGAAATGCATATTAGAGACAATAAACAGAGGTGTGAGACAAAGGTATAGTAATAACGAAGAACAAAACAGTTTCATTGGGAATCATAAGTCACAAGGAGTGGATGCATCTGCGCCACTGAGAAAGATTTTGAGCCATGTCACCAATTGTTTCCAACCGTTGGTTTTTACCATCCCGAGGACCCCAAACAGGAAATCTGCACCTTCCTACGTGGCTTAGACTAACTGTTGTAGATTTCATTGACTGGTGCCATGTTTTCGTTTGACCTCCGCTAGCTCTTTTCCAGCCTGGCCCTATATCAGCTAACATTGCCCATTGTCGAGGAAGGCGATGACTAGGCATACGTAACACATGTCCTAACCATCTCAGTCGATGTAATTTCACAGTCTCGTCTATTGATTTTCCCGCCTTACCTAGCACTTGACGCCTAACTTCAATATTGCTCACCTTATTATACCACTTCACACGGGAGATAGAACGCAGACACCTATGATCAAAGACAGCTAATCTTTTCATGTCTTCCACTCTCAATGGCCAGGTCTCACAGCCATAAAGGAGGACGGAGCGGACTGTTGAGCAGTACATACGCCCTTTGGTCGATAGTCGGATATCGCGTCTACGCCAGAGACGGCGTAAACTGGCATATGCGAAACTAGCCCTCTGTATTCGTACTGAGATTTCGTCGGAGATCAACCCGTTGGGGCTGATGGTACTTCCCAAGTAAGTGAAGCGGTCAACGTGCTCTACCACTTCACTTCCTATTTCTAATCTAGGAGTCGGATAAATGTGATATCATTCTATTTCACAGGTTATCATCATCAGCTCCAAACTACCAGGAATTATTATGCTTATAAAAAATTAGAATAAAATACTTCAATTTATGTATGTCCAAACCAAGTTCACTTTTTAACAGTTTGAAAAAATTTGGGCAGTGGGCATCAGACACACTGCGAAACAACCTTGTCCATATAAAAGAAAAAATCCCTAATGATTCTCTATCTAATTGTGTCTATAAAATAAAATGCTTGGAATGTGATGCGATATACATCGGACAAACATCTCGAGAAATCAAAATCAGAAGAAATGAACACCGTAGAGCATCTATTGAACCACCGAGAAATAAATCCAGTTGAACTAGAAAAGCTTGAAAAATCATCAGCCATAGATCGTCTTCAGAAATCACAAAGAACGTCTAATATCAGAAGCACTTCATATCAAGTGGAATCCAAATTGTCTGAATAGGAATGATGAACTAAAACAGAATTTGACCTGATTACAACTCCCCCTCTCCCATGAAGTGACAAAATCAACACAAATGTGATAAGCAATATCATTATAAAAACACATGCTGCTTTATAACTTTACACTTATCAAATTCAAGTCTACACTTGGTTTTGTTATCTTTACCAATTGGCCAATTTGACAACGAAAAATGCCCCCATACTGACGAACGATGATCAGAAGTTAGTAAACTTTGTTTTGATACCATAACAGATGTACTATTAGACATTTATAAAATTATATTTGTAAAATCTCAGTGACTATCCGGTCAAATCTTGATCACAGTTCATATGAAGATGTACTATTACCTTTGTTATTTGGTTTAGTGATCATCATTGTTATTTTGACTTTCAATATGTCCTTTTAACTTGGCCTAAGTTTATTTTCTCACGTCTAAACTCTTAGTTATATATATGCTGAGATTTTGTAAATTCTGGTTTAATAATACTTTGATAAAGCTATTAGTATTAAATAGCGAAACGTCAGTAAAAACAATATCGCTTTGTTTTTCATTCATTGGGAAATACAAAAACCTTTATTATAATAAAAATACTGCAATGTTAGAATGTTAGTAGAGAAAATAAGTAAGTATTAAAATTTTTAGTTCAAGTTACCATCTATTTGTATACCTTTAAAAGTGGAATACGAGGGGGGGGGGAGGAGAAGACAGAAAACAGAAAAACCGAATAAACGGTGTTAGTTCACAAGTTCACGTAACGACTGTAAGACATGACCATGAGAAGCCCGGCTAGCTGTTCCTAGATCATAGGAGGCTGTGTTCTATTTCCTCCTTTAGATAGTATAATAGGGTAATATTGAGTTGGCTAGGCGTCGAGTGCTAGGTAAGGAGAGGAAATCGATTGACGAGGTTATAAAGTTACACCAACTGAGATTGTTAGGAAATGTGTCACGTATGCATGCCAAGTCATCGCCTTCCTCAATGGTCAGTGTTGGCTGATATAGGACCACTCAGGTTGGAAAAGAGACAGTGGTGATCGAACCAAAACATGGCTTCACCAGTCAATGAAATCCATAACAGTTAGTTTAAGCTAACCACTTAAGGTGTAGACTTCTTGACTGTTTGGAATTTTCAGAATGCTAAGAACCAATGAAGGCTGGAGACAATTGGTGATATGGCCCGAAATCGTTCTTAGTTGCGCAGATAAATTCACTCTTTGTGATTTATCATATCCAATAGAGCTCTATTGTTCTTCCATATTACTATTCTTTTTCCCTTACTCACACTTGTGTTTATTATCCCTCTCTCTCTCTTGAATCTCTCTTTATTCGCTTCTATTGCTGTGTGCTGCATCGAGGGAGAGTGGCAACTCGAACTGATACACATCTGTGCGAAGTTCTATGTTGACACCACCCGTCAGTCAGTCAGTCAGTAGAGACTCAAGAAGATTATAGTTCATAAGATTGAAATTTGCTTGATATTTTTCTCCGTTTTCATAACCATATGCTGAATTCCTTAGAATAAGGTTGTGTGTCGATATTCAGTAAAGAAAATTCCAAGGGTCTCTCCTGCAGTGTTGTGCACCCATGACCAGATTATAGATAGAACCCGGTAACTTTCGACTACTTACTAGGTCACCTTGGACTAGATCTCTGGTATGATACGTATTAGCACGAAACAACTGTCCAGTGCTCTATGACCTTCAGTAGTTTTCTAATCTGTGTGCATTCGTGACGGTATCTAACTTGAAATCAATCACTCAGCACTTGATAATTTTATCTCAACAGTAACAGTAGACTGTCTTAAAAGAATACCTCAGTACTACTACGGTGATACATAAAGAACGGTGGATTTACTGCATAAGGTTTATCACAGTCATTCATTTCACGTTTGATCACTGATTGATATCAGTTAGAAAACTATTAAAAACCTGGGAGTACTGGACAGATATTTCGTCCCAGTTTGGGACTTTTTGGTAGTATGCACTCACGGGGTTTCAATCGATTCAGCTACTGGTACCTGATTCAATGTACCTGTGGCCGTCTATGAGCTTCCCTTCGAACCCAGGACCGTCTAGTCGAAAATCGAGTACTTAAGCCAATAAAAGCCATGTCTCCAATTCAGGATAATAGAGATCAGTAACTTGGGGATTGTTAGTTACTAGCACCACACCCAACGTGCTCTCTTTACTGAGCTTACTACTACTAGTTAGGTATCCTTCTTAATGATACAAATCACATAGACAATAATTTTAGTGGTTTTAATACCCTTGATGTGCTTAAATGTCTCCGTTCTCTTAAGCCTTCCCAAAGCCTTGGTCCTGATGGCGTACCTGCCATTGTCCTCAGGAACTGTGCTGATATTTTGTGTTACCCTCTTACTAATATTTTTAATGCTTCCTTTTCCAGTAATGTTCTACCTTCTGCATGGAAAAACATTAAAATTGTCCCTATACCAAAACAATCTTCTGGTACTGATATTAAATTTAGGCCTATTGCAATTACTTCTCCTTTTTTAAAATTGATGGAAAAACTACTTTTACTTCGTCTTGAACCTTCATTGAAAGCTTTTAATGACCCTAAGCAATTTGCATATAAACATGGTAGAAGTACCTTGGATGCTGCGGTTGTCTTATATCATAATGTTGTTTCTTGTTTAGACAAAGGTGCCAAATATGTTCGTGGTGCTTTCCTAGACTACACATCTGCGTTTGACTCTGTACCTAGGGGCCTTTTATTAAATAAGCTCTCCTTGACGCACACAGCATCCTGGGCTAAGAGTTGGTTGCATTCTTATTTTTCTGATAGAATGCAGTATACTGCATATAATGGCAAATCTTCTTCTGCTTTGCTTACAAAAGCCGGTGTTCCTCAAGGTGCCGTCCTCTCTCCCTTTCTTTTTTCTTTCTTCCTACATGACCTGCTACATTTAAACGAAACCAATTTTGTCAAATATGCTGATGATCTGACTGTATCACTGCCTATCACTCCCGAGTCTGACTGCTCCAAACTTAATAGCTTTCTGTTGGACATCAGCATGTGGTCTAAGTCAAGTGGTCTTATGTTAAATCCTTCCAAATGTCAGGCAGTTAACTTTACCTTCAACCATCGACGTGACATACATGAACTAGTTAGTTCCCATGGTTCCTGTAGCATAGATGGTACAGAAATTGAAACCAAATCAAGCATTAAATACCTTGGATTAGTTCTTTCCTCTGACCTTTCATGGTCATCTCACATTTTATTGGTCTCTATGAAAATGTTTCGTCTTACCTTCTACATTAAAAAGTTAAGACAACAAGGTATCAGCCAACCTTTAGTTCTGCAATTTTTAAACTCCTGTATTTTACCCATTTTACTTTATTGTTCTCCATTAATCTTTCCTGGGCTTCTTAAAAAAGACTATGCCGTATTAGGAAGGGTATTAAATGCTGTGAGTAGGGCTTGTGGTTTGCCACTGCGTGATCTCGCCAATACCATAGTCGAGAGACACGTAAATTCCTGTACAAATTGGGCTAAGGCCGTACTGTCAGACCCTCTGCACCCTCTTTATTCACAATTATCCCCTTGTATCTCATCAGGTAGAACGAGAAGTCAATATAAGAAATTATATGCTCGTACCACTAAGTACAAAAATTCTACAATACCGTATTTAGCCCGTATTTTATGTGATGAAGACACTGTTAGACGTGACACATATAAGTTACTATGTAATTAGCATAGTGAATCGACCCTTTCATTGTTCATTTTTCTGTAAATCTATGGTGTCACCCTTTCTATCGTTTAATTATAACTTTGCTATTTTTATTTTAGTTGTTATTACTATTATTAGTATAATTTTATATTTTTCTCCTTATCCTATACTGTAATTGCTACATAGCTCCTATAAAAACGTTTTGTTATCATTATTATGTATTAATTATTCCGTTTATCTATTTTTTTTGTTGTTGTCGTTTTTAAGTAAATTAGATGCAATACTGTACTGAATGCTGAAAATTCCTTGCTGTATCATTAATAAAGTTTTTGGAATAAAGCAAAATATTATTATTATTGATACAGGAGTGCATTCTCTGGGAGTCGAGTCCGGACAGTGTGTATCACATCAGTGAGCATTCTGCCTTAAACCATAGATGCACACAAAAGTCTTATCCACTGGGCAAGTGAGCCACAGAGTTCTACATTGATAGTTCAGCAGCTGGGAAAGCAATTTTTCATTGTTTAATAACGATATGATTATTTCCATGATATTAAATGGTCATACAGATTGATGTTGGTTCTATTTCTGGCATTTAATTACTTCTAATAATATCTTGTCATAAAATTTTACTTGTGTTATCAAATAAAATACTGTAGTCAAACATAAAAACTCTGTCTGAACCGATCATGAAATACTAACCAAGCGACCCATATATACAGTAAAGCAATGAAAGTGTTCTCAAGTAAAATCGAATGACATGGGGAGTAAGGAGCTATGAGATATGGGGAATACACATATACTTGTCCATTTCAGATATAACCCTCCCCCCCCCCAAAAAAAAATGGTTGGCAGATGTAGTTGAAGTATAAACAAAAAAAGAACTTACCAGCTTTTATTAAACAAAATTGATCATCTAAAGTGAGGTAGGCAGAAGAAAACACCGGTAATTGACGTGCCCAATTCACTAATCGAGGTAGGTGTTGTTCAATAGACTGACAGATTATAGTCAATGGATGTAGGCCGGCTTCATCATCACCAGATATATCTTCATAGATTGCCTCACCTCTCTCAGTCACAGCTAATTTACGATCCATGCTTAGTTCAGCTGATAGAAGACAGTGTAGCGTTAACGTGGGCATGCTTGTTTGTTCATATACCAAATTGTTATTATTATTATTACTATTATTACTGTTATTTGAGCCATTAGGAAGAGGGGAACTATTTGCTTTAATATGATCAGGTTGTAAAGGAGGATGACCGATAGAAATTGTAGGCAGTGTTATTGTTGTCACTGGTGCTGTCTCAGTGATAGTACAGTTGGCAGTGATAATAGCAGTAGCTATCGTAGGCGTAATATTTATTGCAGGAATCTGGTTATCAACTGCAATATTATGATTATTAAGAGTTATCAATTCAGCAGACTTGCTGTTATTTGAAGGACGTCCAGGTCCCTTCTTTCCCACTTTGGAAATTTTGGGCGATGAAAGTACAAGATTGGGTGGTGGTGGTGGTGGTGGTGTTGAAGGTGGTGGTTTACGATGACGTTCTTCTTGAACAGCTGAGAGAAAAACACAGTGATATATATTAAGTAACTATGCAATAAAACAAGCAACAAAAGTTAATAGAGCAGGATTTAATGAATTCATCAAATTTCGGTAGAACTCTTCAACTGAATACTCTGTGAGAGTAGATCAAAAGCTGAAGATCTGTTGACAAAATTCAACTCATACTATCCGAATCGTAACTTCCCAACAAAACACGAGGAAAATGGTACTATTAAATTCCTAGACGTTTCTCTACTGAAAAGGACTAATAACACAATCGAAAGATCGATAATTGGAAAGTCTACATGGACAGGACAGTACATACATTTTGAAAGTTTTGTTCCAATCCAGTATAAAAACATTTCAGTCAGAACACTGTTCAATAGCGTAGGAAAAATTTGCTCTGACAGTACAGATGAACATGAAATAAAGGCTTTGAAGGATATTTTATCTACGAATGGATATCCTGAGAAGTTCAATAATAAGTACTCAACGGAAATGAGCCCCAACAAAACTATCCAAACAGTTCCAAAGAAATCTGTATACATCGATTTACCATTCAAAGTAGATGTACAAAGAAGTAGTCAAACGAAGACCACATAAAGGTATCAAGAGAACTAATCATGCTGCGAAACTCATCTTCCTTAAAACCACCAAGTGAGTGCTACAAAAATCTGTGAAAGACCAGTCGCCAATTTTCGATACTTGAAACTGCGTATATGAATTTCTGTGTTTAAGGAAGTGAATACATAGGTGGTAGAGAAATGGGATTGCCAACTCGCATGATGGAGCACCTATCAAAGTGGTTGAAAACCACTGAAGTCAGTAGTAGTGGTTTTACTTTAACGGGGTGGGGTTGCTAGCCTCACACCCAACCTCCCCCCCCCGTCTATATCGGGCTTAATATCAGTTAATTGAGGTTTAGGAGTGCGTAGGCTGGGGGTCGAACACCGTACCCCATGCTTGGCTGGCCAGTCATATTTCCATTAGGTTCAGAAAATATGGTATACACTTATGAGTTTCATATTCACCTTATCAGTAGAGAAGTGTTACTGACCTCGGTTATTCTATTGAGTATAAAGTGTGGGTACTGTGACATCACATAAAATTTGACTAAAAAACGCAGAGAATTAGGAGCATATCCAGATGAAGTTAGTAAACATTCATAATTGAACAGTTTCAACTAGTGAAAAGTATTTTGTAACGCTTAATGCCATCAGAATCAGTGAACTTAGAGTGAAAGTGTCTAAATGAAACTAGCACTTACAACATCAAAGGCTCTCTTCAAAAAACTATGAAGAGAGCCTATGTGTTTAAGGGTGAACTTCGGGGACTAGTGATACTAGCTGGCTACCCGAAACCAGACACGTGGGGTGGAATTTAAAGTCGTGACAAGATGTAGTTTATAACTTTAGAAAGTCATCGAAAAGTGCTTCCTTCCTCACTGACTCACTTACCTTCTTTCCTCATACCCTTGGCTAAACATTGTTCAAAACGGCAATACTGGCAACGTGTACGTTTCCGTTTATCCACAGGGCATTGTCCAGACTCACGACAAACATACTCTAACTGTTTTCTTACAGTTCGTTTAAAAAATCCTTTACATCCTTCGCATGAAATTGCACCATAGTGTTTACCAGTCGCTCTATCACCACAAATCAAACACAGCTGAGGACTTGAATTCTCTGGATATAAGGAAGTAGTTAACGCAGACTGATTGGATAATTCAAAAGGCATTGAAGTAGGCAAGCATTCTTTATTCTCAACTGTCGTTGTGTTTAGCTCAATAGGTAAGAGAATGGATCTAGAATGAATGTTAATAGATGGTTATTAGAATTAATTAAAGCATTTATTATACAAGAAATTGAACTAAACACAAATAGATAGCCAGATGGGGTAACCTATGCAGTTTATCTTTAAATGTAAATTTCGCCACGAATCAATATTAGTTGCCAGAGATCATCGAAAACAAGGGAGCATTGAACAGTCTGTTTCGCGTCCTAATTTGGAACTCTGCAGCATTGGTACATCCATGACCCTGTAACCGTAGAAGACGAGAGACTTTGTAAAGCAATGTCTATTTGGAATTTGGTATCTGTATATAGCCAAATTATGCATATCTTCAAATTATCATTTGCACAGATCTTCCAGGTTGTGCTACTTCTAGACTTCATATTGTGCTTCTTTGCGTTCCCTTCACATCTCCCATGTTTTTCCGCAATGCTGTATCATTTGCTTTCTCTGACATCAAATCTATCTCCCTGCTAGTTGATGTTTCTATGCTGATGAACGTCTCTTTATACACCAGTGATAAATCTTATCAGTAGCACACGCCATAAAACACAACAACACTAGAAAAATATTGAAATATGATAAGTATGCTGGTTAAAATAACATTGCTGTCTTAAGTGATGTGTTATCAATCTCACTATGACTCGTCAGCATGAACAACTGGTTACATAGGTAGGAAAAACGACCCTCAAACGTCTCACATCACATTATCATAAGTAACAATACATAAGAATGCATAGATTAAACTAAGAGATCAGCAGGACGGACAAGTTTCCTGGTTTTGAATCTGAAGGGTATGCGTGGAGGTGTTTGTGTAGATCTGCTTCCTGGAGAAGGACTTTTTGATCTCAAGTATGCAGACCATATCCTCCTACTGTGCGATAGCACACAGGCTCTCGGAATCGCACTTATTTAGTTTGTGATCAGTGCCTGTAAGTATAGTATGTGCTGTGAGCCATCTAGGTGCAAAGTACTGTTGTAAGATTGGCGGGAGCCTGTAACTGCACCCACCCAACGGAACAATCTCTGATTTTCATACATTATCTAATGTCTTAGTTAACCCAGAAAACAGTCCATCACCACTGTCCTTAAACCCCTCCGCATTTATTCCATTAGGTCATGCTGCTTCACCTTGTTTCAGACTAGGGAAAACCTTTGTAACTTCATTTCAAGTTGGTGGCTCGATAGTAGACATCCCATTCAGGTAGGTGTTGGATGTTGGACAAGTTGAGCATAGTTTTAGGCCAGTTAAATAACTCCTTAAAGTGTTCCCTTGAACGTTTCAGTAAATATCAACCAACACTGTTCGTCGAGGAAGGCGGTGGTTCGGTATGCGCAACATGTGTTTTCGCCATTTTAGTCGACGTAGTTTCACAAAATCATCAAGTGATTTACTCTCCTTACCTAATCAAATGAAGATGTAATGGCGAACACGATGAAATGCGTTAGGAACTGAAAGTAACACGAGATTGTATTCACATAGACAAAGCTATTTTTTCAGAGGTAAAAATTAACTTACAATTGTGAAACTGGAGGAGAAGGTGCTTCAACTTTTGAAACTTGAGACAAATAAGATGTAGGCGGCGGTTCATTCAATACAGTAGACTGACCAGTATCAGTGGATAATGTTTGAGAAAATTCTGATGATTTATTGTAACCAAGGTTTTGAAGAAGATGACCATTCTGCATAGAATTATCTACAGTGCATACAACAGGATTAGTACTTGAAGAATCAGTATTCATATTAGCTGGATTGTGTAAACTCTTCAAAGGCGATTGATCGGTTGTTTGATGATTGTCAGTATGGACGAATGTAGATTTCGTATTAACATCTAATTTAGTGTTGGTCATTTTACCGGGAATCGATTTAAAAGACATTTGAGATTCACATAGTGAACTTTTTATAGTATACAGAGCTGAAAACGAAAATATCAAAATAAGTACATTAAGTAATTGGTGAAACACACAAAATAGACATTTGAATAAAAGCATTTATATCTCACAACAAAGCAATTGAGACTCATGCGACTAAGGGAAAGTTACAATACAGACGACCTTCATCACTCTGAAATCTAGTTTGGAAGTCTCCTGCATTCAGTATAAAGAACAAAATTCCAATTCTCAATCAGTTCTTCTATATGGGTCAAAAACTTGGTGCGCCAAGAAAAACACTTCCAGTAAACCACTGGAGACTTTCATCAAAAGGTACCTTCACTCCATATTGAAAATGAAACGCCAGAAAGAATTGGCAGCAAGGAACTGTGGGAACGAACCAATTAAGAACCTACTGCTCAACAAATATACCGGATAAAATGGAGATGGATCAGAAACACGATAATGAAACCATTGCCTCCAAAGCCTCAGGATGGTCGGCGGTGGGTGCCTTGCGCTGCGGGTTGGCCACCCCTCCGCACACCTCTTCAAATGCTCCCATATGACTGGGCGTCTTACATAGCCTCTCCTGAGGAAGTCCTACTCACTGCCTTCACGTGGCGGAGGTGTTTTTCACCAAAGTGAGAGGGCGAAAGCGGATGCCCGGCGCTCTTCACCGGGTTGACTGTCCATTGGATGACAGTTTAGGGGAGATGGCTAAACCCTGATTCCAAACCTCCAACGACTGGCGTATGAAGCTCACTGGAGCTCACCGGCAGACGTATGGACAAAGGGCTTGTTGGATGTCCTGGATGTCTGGCCCCGTTCAAAACGGCGTATGAACCGAACTCCGGTCACCGGCTGCCAATGGATAGTGGACTCCCTACTCCACTCCTACTGCCTTGTAGGTCACACTTGGTTGTGTAAAGGCTAGAGCTGCACTCTCAAACAAAGGGCCGAGCGATTCTGGGGACATCACTCGTACCAAATTCCCATGAAACTTCATGAACTAAAACCTTGCATCAGAATCGCCGCGCCTGGGCAGCGATGATTCGAGATGTTCATGAAGCCGGCTCATCCTCCCGTAGGAGATAGCCGAAGTAAAGTAAGTAAAGTAAGTAAGCCAAAGAGGACTGTAGAGAAAAGAACGAAGTGGAAATGTATTGTTGAGGCCATATACTCCACTCGTAATCCAAGAGAACATTAATAATATAAATAATAATAATAATGGAAAGTGACTAGACTCAGTCTATTGAAAAGAAAAACATGTAATTCACTAATAAATCTTTAAGACTTGACTAGTGGTTCCAATCAATGTTTCTATTTTTATTGCAGGTAATCGTGCAAGTTTATGTCACGATAGATGAGGCATGAATTCCCACGGTATTACAAGGCATACCCAAGTGATGAGTCAAAAACACGAACGCTATATTTAGGATACTTTTACTGACTAGCCTGTTCCAACATGTAAACAGGAAAGCATCATACCAAGAGTAATTTTATTAAGCTCATCGAGAGACTACATCGCAATAAATAAAAATGGATTATCTCAAATAAGTGATTTTTTCCTTATCCTATTATTGGCCAGAAAGGCTGAAAGAGCATCATTGACAACTATAGCTTACACAGAAGATGCTCTAACCATCCAATCAGGTTTGACAGTTCGAAAACTGTGTTTTTCAAAACAACCTGAGTTTTACTGACTCATTGTTTTACACTTGTTTACATCACAATGGAAGTTATAAGATAAAACTAAGCAGTCACAATACTCTTCCTTACATTTTGATATTCAGCTAATGGGCATTCATCATCTACTAAGAGAAATATCAAAACTCTTAGTGTTTAGTTATGAAATGAAGTGTCAGAAAAGAAAAGCCAAAAAGTCATAACTTCATACAAAGTTAACCACATAGCTAACCAACCATTTCACAATTAAGACAACTCATATCAGACAGCCACACTACAAAGAAAGACTACACAGATGAACAGAATTACAGTGATATCGCACATAGTTTTTAGGGGCGATAATCATGGCTAACAACCCCATATTAGGTTCATGAGCGTCCAATTACACAGAAGCAATTTTAAACAAAAACTTACGGTTATCTGAAAGGACCGTACTACCAAGCATATCGTAGATTTGCTGACTAGTTGATCTAGATGACTTGATCGATTGTATGTCAGTTGAAGGGTCGTCCGGATCTGGTTTAAGAACAACCATTTCCAGATGATCCATAGGAGTTATCATATGTGACTGTGTGCATACAACAGATGTTTCTGAAACTCCACAATTGACATGAACTACACCATCATGATTTTCCAAAACGGACATAATCGTCAAATAAACACAACTGAACTCTAAATTTTATGATTGTACCGAATTGAGCAAGAGACGAGCATTTTATTTCTCAGATACACCACTCTGATCTGTAGAAATCAATAAAAAATTATTTGGAAGAGATTTTCTTAAGGTGTAACAAACTACAGTATATTGTGTAAGCAAAAGATCATTAAAAGAATAAATAGGAAATGCACGCCAAACGCCTACGATATGACTGAACGCCTAATCTTTGTAGGAGAATTTGTAAACTAAATCGGATAGGAGTCTGATAACTCTGCTTTTAATTCATATAAAACAAACTGTACCATGAAATATGTAGCATATTCCAAACTAGAAAGTAAGCTACCATTTTCACATAAACAGAACTTGATAGAAAACGAATACAATCGATATAGATACACATGCGTGTGAGCGAGAATAAAAAATAAATAAATGGTTCTCAAACTGACATCAATCCGTGGTCAAACTAGTAAACTTAAATCTAATCATTGCAAAACAACTCTTGAAAATTAATCTGATGCTCGCTAGTGACTTCCTACAGGATGGAGTTTCCTGAATTCTAGTGAGAAGTTGTGACCAGTGAGGTCCATCCAGTCATATGTGAGGATGGATGTCTCGCCGATGACACCGGTTGGTGGTCGCGCTCAATCACGAATTAGGAGAAGTTAAAAATCATGGGTTGGTCACTGAATCGGGTCCCAGTGGCTGAATGATATACGAGATTGCCTTGTAACCGGAAGGTCCTGGGTTCGAACCTGGGTGGTGGGTGCGTACTGCCGATGATTCCCAAACTAGGATGAAACGGCTGTCCAGTACTTCAGTGCTGGTTTTCAATAGTTCTCGAACTGATATCAATCAGCGGTCAAACTCGTAAAAACAAATAAATGAGTCACAAATTTTTAGATTTTTGAAGATAACAGAAGATGAACACGCTCACACCTTGACAGAGACCTACAGTCATTTTACTTAACTTTAAATTAGTCGAAGTTGACAATTGTTTGCTTTAGTATGACTTCAGTCTCAAGAATATCTGCTGAATATCAGTATAGAAAATGGTCTGTTGGATTATACACAAATGTCTGCATTTGGCAAGCCACCATTTTGAAAATGGAAAATTGTAAGGCATGGAAAAGTACACAGCTTTTAGACCTGACCTTTTTTAACCCATCCATCTTAGATGAAAGCATCGTATTTAATTTGCTGTTACTATTTTTATACGAATACACTGTTGCCACTTTTATATTTCCCTTCATATTTATTTCATCAGACTTTTTGAAATTCTAGTTTACCTGTGACTTAATGAGTCTCATAATGGAACTTCACACAAAAGTGCAACAGCTTAAGTTGCTACACTCCGTGTAGCACACAAAAGTAGACAAAAGGGATCTAAAAGAACAATAATAAGCACCAATGTAAGGGAAAAAGAATAGTAACATGGAGAGATATTGGGATTTACTGGATATGGGAAATCATAGAGTGAATGTGTCTACGCAACTACAAAGGATTTTAAGTCATATCACCAATAGTCTCCAGTTATTAGAAGCCTAAGGGCACCAACCAGGAAGCCTATATCTCGCCTATGCGGCTTAAATCAGCTATCAAAGATTTTATGGATTGATTCCAGGGTTTGAATTAACCACCCCTAAATCTTTTCAAATCCGATAGTCAGCTATTATGGTTTGTTGAGGAAGGCTGGGGTGACTCGGGAAGCACAACGTGTCCTAGCCACCTCACTCGATGTAGCTTCATATGCTTGTTGACCGATTTATCCCCTTTATTTAACACTAGGCCTAGCCTCAATATTACTCAGCACATTAAGGCAGCTAGTCTTTCTATAGTTTCCATATTAAATGGTGACATCTCACAACCATTAAGGGAAGACGGAGAGAACTGCTGTTGTATCAGTTTTTAAGTACTAGACGGCTGTTTATACAAAGTTGTCATTTGATAGAGTGAATTATGTATCCTGAAACCACAGATTTTATTCGTCTTGTAAGTGACTTGCACACCTTTAGTGGAAACTTCAAAAACCGCTTTTATCGATGCGTGCAGTATCTCATAAACCTATACTCATAGAATGAAATAATTGCACCGCCCAATTTAGAAATTTTATCGCCGCTAAATAATTTGAGAATACGAACTGCCAGTGTTGAAGGACTGCTCCAATCAATAATTGCCAATACTCATGATATTGTTATCAAACAAAAACTTGCATTCCCACCCAGTTGGCAATGAGGAACACCCACTGTGTGTATGTGCGCGCGCGGAAACTTGACACATTTTGGTCTCACAACAAGTCACAATTAATATAAGAAAGATTTTGACCGACGGGTTTCCAGACTAGTTAATCCTACTTAACGATACATGTTTATCAACCAAGATCAGTAATTCTCCATACCGAGATAAAGTTAAATCTAAACCACTCAAATAAATCGCCAGTAACAGTCCTTGTTTCGCTTATAGAATTAAAGCCCAGATCAAAGAAGGAAGTGAATGTCAAGAGAAATGATGCTTCTGAGGAATTCAACTCAAATGCATGCATGAGTGGGTTTTACAACTGAGTAACCGTGAATAAGGAAGTCTGATATTTATCCTGATGCTAGTTGTGAAATTAGATACACATCAGGTGTTCAGACTTAGAGGTTTGTGCAACCTGGGTATAGTAAGTCGTCTGCCTGAGTAAAGGAAATAGCTACTGAATGTTGATTTACGAAAGATTCTGATACACAACTAAATTCGCTTTTCTTGTTTCACTAGAAATTTGAAATTACCGGATGTTCTAATGGTGAAACATGTACAGAGTAAAAAATGAGGTGTAAAAATTTTCTGAAGTTGATTGAATCTTTATATTTGATTGTGGACATTTCATAAATATGTAAAGTGACCTCTTCCCTAGCTACTTTAGGGAGGGAAAACACCAAATAGCGGTCACTTATTCTTATCTACTATTTACGAAATGGCGACTACGAAAGAAATACTCTGTAGTCTATATTGTCTCAATAGTTCCATACTAAACATCATTCTTTTAAATGTATCACGCAATGGATAAGGAGGTAAAAGTGCCCCATGTGAACTAGAAGAAAACCGCAAAACTACAGACCGAAATAACATGATAGTACGCTCACCATCAAATATAGTGAACCCTACGTGTGTTTACTATTCCTAAATCCGATTATCACCAACCGGTATTGATAAGTGATGGACCTTTAGTACTCAACTCAACAAGCGAATCAAGTCACCTTATGTTTAAAACCCGACTTTTTCGATAACTTGATCCTCCCATCCTAACGACTTTAGAGGGAAAATATTTGTGATTAGGGACTGTACTGGTCTACCTGCTGAGTGACAGCTTGTCTCTATCACCGGCCAAACCTGTGAAGAGATTTATAGGCGGACACAGGTTATTAAAAGAAAAATGCATGAATCAATGCATAGCTACATGGAGTCAAAAAATAGGTTGAAGTATTGCAGAATTAGGACCAAACGTTAGCATTTCATCATCAACCACCCCATAATTACTTAGTGACTTCTATAGCAGTTATAGACTATCCTCTTCCCGCATCGCATTCTTGAAACATGCAGAGCCACCCAATCTTAATGATCTGTAACTTAGGTAGATATCTTTAACGAACCATAGATGCTCAAAATTACTCAAAATCTCAAACTTCCAAAAGCGGATCCCTATGGGTTGGAGAGATTTTATAATTGCTACTATACATGAGATAAAAGATATGTAGTGCATAACTATCGGCCAGCTAGGCTATCAAGTAATACGGGGTGTTGCTTAGATTTATGACGATACACAATCAATCTATTGCCCACATGGTCTATGATTTATATGCTGACACTTACCTAACCGACTTGTTACAGTGTACAGATCTGGTGCTTTTCTGGACTAGTCAGACGTTTTCCAGACCGCGAACGAATTCAGTGGAAACCGATACCGAAGTAGATAAAAAATCAGTCTACACAAAGGAAAGCTATGAAAAGGAAGTGAGTGAAGATGTCGACCTGCAATTAATAGCTCCAAGGTGCGATTCCTGCAAAATCAACTTCAGTCTGGGCAAGTGGGCAGTATAATTAGATGTTACAAAGTGTTAGCGATTGCTCGATACCATCAAATAGAACCATTTTCTTTATTTTTCTGCTTCCAAGTCCCTATTACGACACACTTATCTCCCACATTTGGTGATCATCAATAGAATGAATTAAAATTGAGAATGGACAGTACTGTTCCATCATGGAATTACACTCTACCACAATGCACAAGTTTTATTCTTATATCAAGGACAGTACTGTTGTTTAATTTAGGCATACATGTTTTTGCATTTACATCCCAGATATTCCCAGGAGATTCTTTCAACTGTCTAATAACTATATTCCCTGCACTTTCGACCTATCGGTTTTGATTTATTCCTTAGTACATGAAGTGCGTTGAATCATACATGGGGAGAGTTCCACCTTTTATTGAGGTAGCAAAGCCTTCAGGTAGAAAAAGCAATGAAACGCAGGATGCATATGAAGGTGTAACACTTGTTTACCAGACGTTTGCAAAATGTTTGTAGTACACCGCAAGTTGTGCCCAAAATATCTGGAATGACATTGAATTAGTTGTGTTCTCTGGACTGAGACACAAATCTCCAATACTTCAATGTCTAGGGTGGGTTTAAAGTTATGAGTAGCGGGCCCTTAAAGCACTAGACATTGAAATTAATAAATTTCGATGTCAAGTTTCAGCCTAAGGGATATAATGGTGAGTGAATAGTGTACTAAAATAACATTAATCTGTGTAACCACATCATGTAGCGGAAACGTCTATATATCAGAATAAACTTCGACTACAAGCAGAGCTGATCGAACATTTTTAAAGCAACCTTTTATACATCATAATTAAAAATTCAAATGAGTTGAATTAAGACAGGTAACCCAAGCTTACAACAATTCTAAACTTATTCTAACCTATGCGTTGATAATGCCTTTTTATGGTAAATGAAAATTTTTTCTACCCACTATGTTCTTAAATAACGCTGGTCGTGCTTAAAAAGAGAGCTGGGTGCTGAATTAGGTCTTTTCGTTCTGAAGTAATGCTAGTCAGTGCTTAATATGTCCTCTAATGGCTGGAACAACGCTGATAAGGAAACCCAGTATGTTCTGATCTACTCCTGAAAATGCCTAGAAAAAGAACACGGTGCTGAATTAGTTATAGTCATGCTGAAAACCAGCACTGAGTTCTAGTCTGTGCCATTAAACAAACCATTTCAGAACAGATTCAGAATTTACTCACTATAGGATGCAAGAATTATTTCAGAATTACTGAGATTTAATTCAGCATTATTGTAAGCTTGGGAACCTGAGTGATATAAGAAAAGAATGTTATTAGATTCTTACACACAAACATCAACCCTTCGTTTAAATTCAAAATCTAGCTACTGTAATTGGCGCAGACGCATCAATGTTACATAAATTTTTAAAAAGATAACCTACTCACCTAATTCAAACATGTTTTTGCAACAAAACAACCTAGAAATACGAAACAAGCGCTACCGCTGGAAGACGAATACAAACTTAGGGCTGCAATGTCCAATGTCCACTACCCATCCTCAAAGATTTACAGACTAAAGAGGCTGACAAATAATGTGTTCAAACTTTTAAAGCCATTATCATGATAGTATGTGATGAAGTTGGTTTTATTCAAGCCGTAGAATAAGGCGGTGTAATATATTTATAAAACTTCAAAGCTTCTGTGAAAAATTCTCTCAGACAACCTCAGCTGCACTTTCGAGTGGTTGTTTTTCGAAGACCTAGATCCCTCTTGGACATATCCTACGAAGGCGCCATCAATGATAGCAGTAATGGACTGAGGTAGAAGTCAGGACAGAGTTTCCTGGAGTTCTACTGAGACGTTGTGACCAGTGAGGTCCATCCAGTCAAGTGTGAGGATGGATTTCCCATCGATAACATTGGTTGGTGATCGCCCCATATCACAAACTGGGAGAATTCATGGGCTATCCATTGAGTCGGGTTCCTGTCGCTGAATGAAGTACAAGATTGCCTTGTAACCGAAAATACTGTGTGGTTTCAAGCTATAATTTAAAAAAGTAAAAAAATAAGTGTTTTGTGTTAAAATGATACGTGAAGACTATCTCTTTGAGGGTAGGTTCGATAAATTTATATTCGGTAGCACTTCAGTACTTCCTATCCCTCAAAAATAGCCACATATATCGATTAATGAATGCAATTAAGTGTGTCAAAGCCTAGCTGCATGTAATTTATCGAATTGATGATGCCTGTAAACTGGCGTCCCTCATGTAAAGAAAAATGAGAATATACTATTATTATTATGTAGATACACCAACAAAATCCATAATAATCCTTGTCCAAAGTGTCTTCAGTGATTGAGTATGCGCAGAGTCTAGAAATATGACTTTGTGCAACTTCAGTTAAAATTTAAAAAATGACACTCTTTCTGATCAAGACACTGTGTATATCTCTCGTTTGAAGCATGTGGTCTTTACTGTTTGTGTCCTTCCAGCTGCCATCCTGATTAGTCGGTTGCGTTTTTTTAGAAATTACAGGGAATCCGCATCCTCGTTCATCAAGCAAGTTGGAAAATACACTGAGGGGAAAAGCCGTTGAGGCATACTGCATGAATTAATTTTGTAGAATGGGAACTTATTTGAAAACAACCGTACTCCCTTATAATTCATTACCTTTAATACTTTTAATTTATCGCTTAAGCATCTTCTGCTGCTTCGAGATACTATGATACTTCACATAAATACTGAGTGTCTTGCTGGATCCCTCACAAATTCATCGGTGAGCCCAATTGCATGTTCAAATAGCTTGTATGATGTTTTTGGGATTGCACTCTTAAACCTATATTTCCAATATGACACCCCCTGCTTGCTGATATACGTTGTCAGGTAACAGGGACAATGAATGGACGAAGGTCTCCTCAGTGATCGTGATTGGAGATTTACGCTTAAAATATTACTGATACGACAGTCCGAGAATATGGATTTCAACAAATGAATCTCTATCTGTGGCTGGGTGTAAGCGGTCTCAAACTTCTCTGTACATGTGTATTAGCGGCATATCTTATGGAGGTAGTCACAGAGGTGGAGAATTCAACTGACGATGTCCTAGATCTTCCATATCGTAAACTAAGGACGGGAGCCATTAGGTGTGAGCTAAGTGCCAGAAGGCCATACCAGTTCCTACGATATATGAGAAAACTCGTGGGGACATATAAGCTGGATGGAGCTGTCTTAAAGAAAATCTGGCTTCGGGGACTGCCACACAGTATTCAACAATTTACAAGTATTGCCTCCATATCAATGGAATCCGGTAATCCTGCGGATGTGATAAACAAAATAATGGAGGTGTTCCCCGAAACCTCAGACTGGCGTGATTCTGTACAGGATCAACTACGTATATAATGGAAATACGAGTGTAATCCACCATTCAGTCATTGATCACACAAGTGGGCAGATAGAAACATCAGCTTCTTTTGTATTTTGCAGACGTTATGGTTGAAGTAATAGGGGCGCACAGCCTAGTAACAGGTGCAGTAATCATGAATATCGCTTGTCTTCGTCAACAACTTGAACAACGGCCAACTGAATTCGCAACCTGTTGATTTAGCGGAAACATAACTAGGTGAGATGGAAAGTATTTTTAAAGAAGGAGACAACAGTATATATGTAGACAGAACAAGAAAACAAAGAGTACGTACATACGCCAATGATGTGGGCGTTATAAACACAAATACATTCGTTGTCTGTTTAGCTTTTTACGAGACGACTGATTTGTTCATTCTTCATACAGGCTATCGATTCACACATTATTTCGAAACTTCCAAGTACATAATGGTAAGTTGCGACCACAGCAACGTGGATGTTCGTCCTTACCAAAGAGATCTCAAACACCTACGGTAACGAAAGATATGTTCTGGTACCATAAAGAATTCGGATACGCGACCATGGGATGTACATACTTGCGTACCTTCAATGATTTTAGTCTGTTTAAGGATAGTGATGGGTACAGCTGCTAATGGCGACGATTTAAGCTGCCTGCTCTACATGAGGGATAAGAATATAGTTGCCTTGTTTAAAGTAGATGCAAGAGCTAAAGTCAGCATATTACCTCCTTGATTATCAAGGCAACCCGCCAGTATAGCCTGAAAACCGCTACACTGAGCAGACAATCGAACCAGCATACGGACCTCCGTGGAAAGGTCACTATCTGTGAATCTCAGTTTGAGCGGAAACTTCACATGGATTTTTGTGGTAGCTGAGGTCCGTTATGACATGGTTAGTGCCGACTTTTGGAGCGACTTTAGCCTGCTAATTGAAATAAACAGGAAAAAGCAGAGCGATAACCACATTCAACTTAGACTTCATGGGATCGTCTTGGAACACTCCATCGAAAAAGCCGGAGGACTGTTCTCAATCCACTTTCATGAAGCGCTCCCCAGTTTTTTGTTAGATGTTGAAATTAGAGACATTGTACGTGACTTTTGTTCAAAACAATTCATGTTAAAATAAAGATAACTCCTGAGTACAATCTAAAATACAGTGTATTGTTGGTCGCTTCGTTTTATCACTGGTCTATATTGTCTACTTGCATCACTCTTAACCGTATTGTATACTTTGGATTTTTTGCAGGAACCTCTTATCATCATACGAAGACAATTCTACAACCAGTGCAAAGCTTCTACCAGTCGACACGAGTCCAGTAGTGAACGCTCCTATGGATTATATTAATAATTTGTAGCCGTGAACGTTAACTGCATATCCAAATAACCATTTAATTAATATGTCATTACTGTATTTTTGATAATATATTGTTACACTCATCTCATTAACTTGGATTCAAATACTTGTTATGTTATTGAGTTCGCTAAACCGTCCCATACAGGTGTAACGACAGAAGGCAAGGGTCAGGCAACAGATATTAAGGAAATCAACGCATATTTATATATTTTCATGTACATTACTATGGATATTTAAGCAAACAAACACAGTCTTCCGATTGGTTGTTTCTCACGCAAAGTTAATCTTTCATCTCTTTGTGACTGTTTCTTGAATGTCAAATCCTCTATATGTTAACTGCATCCGCCTACGCAAAGTCTGCTGTGGTCGGTTTTGAATCAATCTTTGTTCACATTTTCTCACGACAAATCTTGGGAACGTAAATATTGACGTAAATTACTGTCTACCAATTTGGCCAGTAGACAGCTCTCACCACACAGGTATATCCCAGTGAATTAGACCTTGTATTTTGCATGCTTGGGCGCTATTTAAACTAGCTTTTGGTGAATTAAGTCGTGAAAGTAATAAGTAAGCACTTTTTGATTATTAATTTTTTTGAAGAAGGATTCCAACATCATACCAGTGTGTGCCTTGAAGTCGTATACTGTACAGATACGGCGAGATGAAATATGGGTTTTATCAATATGAATGCACTTCTGGAGGTCATCGTGCTGCTAGAGGAGGTTTTGGCTGGCTGGCTTGAGGAATAAATGGTAAGTTGGATGTGTATCTTTTTGGCCAGAAATATTGCTTGATAGTCCCGAGTTATAGTTTGGTATACAAGTGAGGGATATAAGATTACAACATATAAAACTCCAAATAACCATTCGTGCACTGAAAGCTTCGTGTCACCAGCTGACGATGCATCCATATATCAGTTATCATCAAAGGAAATGCTTGTTGTTGTATTAATTAAAGATATGTGGGCTGGGACTAATCAGCGTAAGAATTTTGAAAATGAATGTGGGACTTGGATAGAAATCGGTAGTTTACAAGGTTATTTTTAGCAAGAGAGGGGAACAGATCAAGTTAGTGTTCTGCACTATAATGCAGGTTTCATCTCCAAAATCATTTTCCCCAGCCATGACATGGTCGAGCTGCAACATAAGTCTCCCAAAGTAGTCGAGATTGACTGCACATATAAAACGAATATGATGGGGGCAAGCTGAAGTATAAGAGGGCATGATTTCTTCTTTGAAATAATTATAACTGGCATTTATATCAAATTGTGGTGACAGATGGATTTGAAAGGAAGGAGAAAAATCGTTATGTTCGCCGTGACTAGGCAGTTGGAAAGGTTTGCAGATGTCAAAGAAATCTTACAAATGGTTAAGAGATTCATGAGGGGTACATCGACGGTAAAACGTTCATTACTGACTAACTGTGTAACTGCGCAGATAAATGCAGTATTGTATTATATCTTTTCCATGTATGCCAAGTGGGATTCTGAAGGAAGGTAAGTTTCATTCTCCTCCTTAATGAAGATAAAGAAAGTAGTTTCCAAATGAGTTTGGTTAAGAAGAAGTGGTTATATCGAATGGCACACACGCAGTTGGGAGAAGTAAGTTTACAATTCGCACTGCACTGAAAGAGGTCTTGGCGCTTAGCTAGCCCTACATAAATGATAAGTAAATACAGTAGCAGATGGCACTTGCATCCGAAGGCAGTATTGGATCAGGACTGGAGGTCGTACAACCACTTCACTGTCAGTATGGGGATTAGTACAA